CCCCCTTCTCACCCTCTCGGACTGACCCCCACCCCCTTCTCACCCTCTCGGACTGACCCTGCCCTTCACCCTGACAGACTGACCCACACCCTCACTGTCCTATCTATCCACAGACTTACCCCGCACCCCATCAGACTGATTTTCCCCCCCTTCACAGACTGACATCCCCGTATCCTGTCAGATTGACCTCACCATCACACACTGGCTCCCCAAACCGTTTCAGATTGACCCCACCCACAGACCCATCACGGTCTCATAGATTGACCCCCATGCCACCACAAACTCACCCCACTTACACACTTACATTCTCACAGACTGGCTTCTCCCTATCCTCAGACCCCCCCCCCACCCCAGTCACCCCTACACCCTGTCAGATTGATCCCACACCCTCATGGACTGATGCCCCCCGTACCCCCATTGCTATCAGATTGACTCCACCCTCACAGACTGACACCCACCACAGATCCATGACACACCCTCACAAACCGGTACCCCCCCACTCCCTGTCAGATTGACCCCACCCTCTCAGACTGACTCCACTTACACTCTTACATGTCAGAGACTGACCCCCACTATGCACCCTCTCGGACTGATACCCTGTCCAGGGACCTATGTCGCCCCAGACTGATTTTACTTACCCCGCCCCCCAATTCCATAGAGTCATATAGCTCGGAAACAGACCCTTCGGTCCAACCAGTCCGTGCCAAACATAATCACAAACTGAACTAGCACCACCTACGTGCTCTTGGCCCAAAACCCAAAATATCTTTTAAAAGTTGTAATTATACCCATATCCACCCCTTTATCCATCCCTTACCTGGACTGACCCCTACCCAACCTCTCACCCTACCAAACTACACCCCTCAAAACAACACGACTGATACTTCCTTTGTGAATCCCACCCCAGACTGACAACCAACCCAACAGACTGAACTCCCATCTCTTATGCCCCTCCTCCTGGAATGACCCTGTCCCAACTACCCTCACCACTCCAGACTGACTGCCCTCCCCAAGACTGTCCCCCCATTCCTGACTCCACACCCCCCCCAGATTGCTCCTGAATTATTCCCCCCCCATCCCTTCTGACATCAACGCCCACCACCCGCTCCCCCCTCCAAAAAAAAACTGAATTCCAACCTCCCATTACTGATTTTCACTTTGTCTTAATTTCTCTAGCTTGGTCAGCAGCAGTGCAACTGAACAAATTTAGTTTTGCTAGATAGCATCATCTGTGATAGTATATTTTAGGCGTGTGAAATTACTATTTTTGCCAGTGGTTCGATCCTTAGATAGAGTTTTCTGGCCAGATAGCTCAAACTTGCAAGCAGGATGAATGTGACATTGCTAGGTAATTATCTGACCAATATTTAAGAAGTCAGAGATATGAACTTTGAGTCACAAATTACAGTCACTGAAGTTGTTTCATTGTCAGCAATCATGTGCTAGTGACTAGATTGCCCACCTCAGAAATTCCGACTCACTGGTCTTTGGCTCTGTGCATCCTCATGTGGCTGCAGAGCTCGATCCTAGAGCCATGTCTCCAACCCCACATTTGCCAGGTGTTTCCAGGTGGTGGAGGTGGTCCTTAGCCTTGAGATTGCTGGCATTCCTTTCCCAAGTTTTTTTTTTCCATACTTCCTCATGCCAGTGGGTATTCTTGAAGAATTGTGTCCCTTCATACAGGAGTTTTCTTCAAGTAGGCAGAACTGAAACTTGTCCTGGGATGAGTTATTAAAGGATGTAAGTCTTGTCGAACTTGAGGCTGAAACTACTTCTTCACAATGCTTCTGTGAGGCGTTAAACAACGTTTGATGATTTTCTTCTGAGAGAGCAAAGACGACATTGTCATCTGCATAATGAAGTTCTGCAAGCGAAATGTTGTTTTCCTCTTGGATTGCAAGCAGTTGAGTTTGAAAAGTTTGCTGTCAACTCTCGACAATGTCCACGCCACTTGGAAGCTTGTTATTGACAAGTGGTGATGACACATCCCTACTTGAACTCTGTTTTGACCTCAGGCTTCTTTTAGATTTTGTTGGTGAGAACCGTCGCTGACATCTTGCCTTGGAGGGGACTGAAGGTGTTGATGAATTTCACTGGACAGAGGGCCTTTGACAGGGTCTTCCATAAGCCCTTCCTGATTGATCCGACCAAGGCTTTTGACTTAGTCAATGAAGGCCAGCAGAATGGTTGGCTTTGCTCCCGGCGTTGCTGAGTAGTATAGGTAGATGAGCCTGCTAGGTGCGGTTTTCTAGCTAGATGGGTGATGGAATACGTTATTTTCTGGGCACCTTTTCTAGACCTTCCCCATGTAGGGTGAGCAGTGAGCAGAGTGGATCCTGACGAGAGTTACTAAAACACTCTCCTATCCCTATTCCAAGAGCGAAATGACTGACTCAAATTTCACCGCCTACATACTGGTCTGAAACGAGGGATTTCCAGGATTTCTTAATCCTGTCCCCATCATGTCTTGCCAAACGCTGCAGGACGTATATTTGTGTGTGTGGTGGGGGGAGCGGTGGGTGGGTGGGTTTGGCAGGGAGATCGGGTTTGAATTCCTTTAGGTGTGGGATCTTTTAACGTGGAATGCTGTTGCACATCAGCAGGCGCACGCTCCATGATAGAAAGTAAATCCAGCTCCAGTGGCAAGGAAATCTTGATGACTGGGAATCTTCCTCCTGCTGCAGCCTTCATTCATCATTGCAGCCATTAATATTACACAAATATCCACTGCCTGGATCACCATCAAGGACTTGATTTGGATTGTGCTTTATCTGGGCCCTCCCCTCCGACCTTATCATCGTGGATGACCCTGCCAGGAGTTGAGAACATTGATCTTGGGATCAATGGAGCACTCAAGCCTTTCCACCGCATCAAGCTGGCAATCAATAGAAACTGTCAATTGGAGATTGTTTCACAGTATGCAAAAAGCTTGATTCAATCAACTGCCAGGAGACTGGATGTCCATGTACAGCTCATATAAATAGTACTTCAGCTGTTGGAAAGTCTGGATCCTTTTTTGGATGTTGAGGTGCTAATTAGTCTGGACCTGAAGAAGTGGTATACACTGTGCATTGTTGGTTAAAGGAATGAATTTTCAAAGTGATGGCTGGGGTGACTTTCAAATAGCTTGTCTTGTTGTGGGTGATGAGGAGCTTTTTGATGCTGTTGAATCTGCACTCATCCAAGTGGAGAGTATAGCATTGCACTTGTGCTTTGTCAGTGGTGGACAGGCTTTGGGGAGTCAGGTGATTTATTTGCCTCAGAATTCGCAGCCTCTGAACTGCTGTTGGCTCTGGTCAGTGGGAACTCCAAAATGTTGTTGATGGTGTATTGTGATGGTAATGCCACTGAATGTCAAGGGGAAATGTTAAATTCTCTCTTGTTTGAGATTGTCAGTTCCTGGCACTTAGGCACGAATGTTGTTTGCTACATATCAGCCCAATATATATATACACTTGCTGCATATATACACTGACTACTTCAGTATCTAAATGGTGCTGAACATTGTGCAACCATCAGCAAACATTGCCACCACTGATCTTATCATGGAAGGAAGGTCATTGAGGCAAATGAAGGTATCTGTGTCCAGGACACTACCCTGAAGAACTCCTGTTGTGATATCCCAGGACTGAGGTGATTGATTTCCAACAACCACAACCATCTTTCTTTGTTCTGGGTATGGCTGCAACTAGTGAAGAAAATTCTCCCTAATTACCATTGACTCTAATTTTGCTAGGGCTCCTTAATATCGAGGATAGTCATTTCACCTCACCTATGGAGTTCAACTCTTTTGTCCATGCTTGGACCAAGGGTGTAATGGCGTCAGGAGCTAAATGGCTTTGATGGAACAGAAACTGAAGGGCAGTGAACAGAGTATTGCAAAGTGAATTCTGCTTGACTGCATTGACAACTTTCATCACCTTGCTGTGTACACAGAGTATAGACAAATGGAGCACTGATCAGCCATGTTCAATTTGTTCTGTTTTTTTTGTGACAGGACCCACCTTTGCAAATTTCCACATTGTCTGATAGATTCCAGTCTTGCAGGAGTGCTGGAACAGCTTGGCGAGATCTAAACTAGAACTGGGAGGAGCAGCTGGTGATGTCACCAAGCTGTATCTATTGCATGCCACTCCTGCTGTTTGGCATGCAGATGGGTTCTGTGTTGTATCCTCACCGTATTCATATCTAATCTTTTGGACATCCCTGGCAACATCACCTACGTCTGTCATTGAACCAAAGTTGATTCCCCCAGCTTGATCATAATGAGACAATACATGTACGTTGACAACGTCTTCCAAATTTGTGATCTCTAACATCTAGAGATGCAGTACGTACATGTGAACACCACAACCTTGCAAAGTCAATTGCAGGCCACACACCTTTTGACTATGTCGCCTTCATTGGTTCCGTTGTTGCTGGCTGGAAATCCTGTAAATCCCTTCCAACAGACAATGTAAAAGTATCCACACACCCCTCCCCATTAGCTGCTGATGCCCATATCCTGTGAACAAAAGTATAAAATTAAAGCACATTGGTTTTAGGTTTTTGGTCAAATTAAAGTGGATAATTGATGGAAAAATGATTTTTTTCTTAGTCCATTAAAGGCAAAAAAGTCTGGAACAAACAGAAAGCTGGAGAAACCCAGCTGGTCTGTGCCGAGTTATGAAGCAGTTCATGCCAGTTCTGAAAAAGTCTTAATTGACTTCAGACGTTAACTGTCCCCTCAGTCCATATTTGGCCTTTGCATAAAGGAGAAAGAAAAGCAGTGACTAGACGATATTAAGGAAATTAGTTGGTATTAGTACAGACTTTTGAGGTATGAGTATATTTCTCTAATCATGGAAATGGAAAGAATGGTGTGCCAGAATGTTCAGAAATTTTGAACAATCAAAGCAAAAGCTAGCTTTTATTCTATAGGGGCTTTTGTGTTATTTCAACATTATATTTCAATATTTAATTCAACAAGTACTGGAGAGAAATGTCTCAGGAGGAAAACTCTTTGCTATTCTTTTCAGTGAGAAGTCCTTCTCAACCGTGCTGCTGTTCTATTAAGAAGTGAAGGAGCATTGCAACAGTACGAAGAAATAACCACAGCAATGGGAAAGAAGTGCAACATTGAGAGTTTTCAAACTGCTTAGCCAATTTCTATGCACCTTGAATTAGTAGTTAAACCCTTTATAACTACCTATTATTGCTGTTTCATTTACAGAAGCCATAGACGCAATACTGAGTTACAGTCAGAGTGCTGAAGAATTGCTGAAAAGAAAGAAGATCCACCGTGGGATTATATTTCAATATTTAGCAAAACATAATGTTGTTACGCCATCTAATGCAGAGAAATACCAGCTTGTTCAGAAAGTTATAGAATATTGGAATGAAGGCAGTGCTGGATCCCAGGTACTTAACTTGAAGCGGCATCATCTTGTAGCACTTTTATTTTCAAATATTTTTACAGTGAAATTAAAAATGAAATTAAGTTTGAAAATAGCGATTTTGCGATTCAGGTTACTATCTTCAAATAAGTGTTTTAAATTTATGAGTACTAGTGTCCAGCTGATTTAGATTTGTTCAAAAAAAATTTGAACAGGTTAGGTACAGGATAATCTATCTTGGCAGAGTTAATTATTCTAATCCCTGTAGAGATTGATTAATACTTTAACGAAAAGAATTTCAACTTTTAGTTCATGGCTAAAAGAATAACATGGCATGATTTTATACTTTATGCTTTGCTGTTTGAAAAAAAGACTAAAAGCATGATTGATTCAATGCTATTTTTATTGCCGATTTGTATGTTAAACCGCAGAACAGATATTTTAACATGACTGGGGAAAAATTATCAAAAATAATCATTACACCATCGTTTAATGAAAATTCAACTCTCTCAGAATAATTCAAAACATATTCTTACCTCCTGATGGTTTACTTCTGACCTTTTAGTTTTCCAGCCTGAAATTTAATTCAGAACTCTCCTTCATGGTGTAAGTTTTCCTGTAGATATTTTTCCCCACATTGTTTTAACACGCAACAAATTTGACCCCTTTTGGTACAGGCACAAGCTCTTATCATGGACTATAGCATCTTGCTGTTTGTAACTGCTCTCCTTTTCCTGGCCTCCTATCCCACCTTTTTGTGATCTTTTAGAAACCCATTCCCTCTTAAAGTACATTTCCAGGAGTTTCAGAAAACTGTCGATCAGCTGTTCTTGAGAGCCCAACTTTCTTTTTTGTGTTGAAAGTAAATGAACTGTTTAAAGCACAACTGTTTACAACCTGACATTCTCAACACTTTTCTTGGACTTTGGAAACTGTGTCTATCCACTGTTAGCCCACAGACTACTGACATTGTTTCCCAGTGTAAACGTTGCACTTTCTTCCCAGTAAAATAATTTTGGACCCTTTTTTAATCTCGTTTTAAAAGAAGCACCTTGACTTGCAGCACAGACCATTTGGTTTACCTTAATGTAATTCAGTTTACCTTAAAAATAATCCCAAAATATATATAATCTCTTAAACCTCATTATAACTATGTTAATCTTCAATAACCTTTATGAAATCAGTTCTGTATTTTTCTGCCTCTAAAAATGGTGCCTAATAATGCTCTTCTGTGAAAGAATGAGCAAATATTTAACGTACAAGTGGATTATCAATATCATCATCCTGGATGAGGGTAACCTAGTAACTCTTTTAGACACTTGTGCCATAATGGTAGATTTTAAATAATTATCCATATCTTTAAATCCATTTACATATCTTTTTCAGTAACCCTCAGTTTTTTTCCCCCGTTTTGATGGTATTCCTTGATGAGGTGAGAGTGACTGCTCTTGAGATCCAGGAGTACCTGCAAAATTTCATTGGAAATTGGAGGGAGAACTTTCTATTTGGTGAAATCACATTGAGCAAAAAAGAATAATCATATTAGGTCCAGGGTATTACTGCAACAGTTCCTCAAGAATGTGGTCCTTAGGCCTAACCATCTTCTAGTTACAAACAAGGAGTCAGTTTTATTGCTAATGCCCCCTCAAATAAAAGTATTTAAGAAATGGCAAAAATGTACCTTTGCACTAACATGTACAAGCACCCATTCAAATCTCAAGCGTGCAGAAAAATAGAGCTTTGCAGATTATCCCATGTTTAAACTTGGCTAAGGCAAAAATAAAGATTAAAATTCACTCATTAAGAACTTACTGACTGCACGTGGATGTTTTTTCTCTGAGACAATTGTTTTGTGGCGATAGCTCATTCTAGCCCTTCCCCTCAAGTCACTGTTGCTGAGTTGAAATTGTCTTTCTCCAGCACAGAAATTTTCATATTGGTCATCATGCTACAAACAGGACTCAAGTTTTCTAGAGAGTTCCCAGAGACATAGTCAGTCAGTTACTTATTCTGGAGGTTGTGCGCTGTCTGCCTAAATTCCAAATTGAAATATTCACAAAAAAACGTCTGATCATATGGCATCTTTCCATGTAGGTTGTACACTCTTAAGTAATGTAGATGACTGGTTCATGACTCAGTTTCGTTTCAGCCATTGTGCCATTGTCTAGGTGATTGAATATTTAATGTTCCAACATTGCGAATAAATGATCTGCCAAAAAGAGGTTGTTCACCCCCTGAGGTGTCATTGTCTCTGGGATTCCTGTGCCTCTCCATGGATTGGAATGGTGGCTCCACAGGTGCAAAGTATCAGTTACTTCAAGTCAGTGTCCTTTCCTTTGTTTAAAAAAAATATTTTTATTTTAAAAGTTCTATATTTGATGTAAAACTAATAAGGAAGGAATAAAATATGAATGAGCAAAAAAAGACTTAAAGCTTCTATTGGTATGTAAAAAAGGAAATATTTGGCTAAAACATACAGGCAGAATAGGAGAATTTATATTCGAGAAATGGCAGAGAAGCTAAATGATTACTTTGTGTCTGTCTTCATGGAGAAAGATGCAAGAATTAGGGATCCAAAAGACTGGCAATAATGGAGAACTGAGGGAAAATATTATTAGTAGGAAGGTTGTTTTGAAGAATTTAATGGGACTGATGGTTGTTAAGTCCTCGGGACCTGCTATTCTGCACCTCAGAGTTTTGATAGAGGTAGCTGTGGACATAGTGGATGCATTGGTGATTATCTTCACAAAATTGATCATGCAGATTGGAAAGTAGCAAAAGTGGCCGAACTGGAGGGGGAGACGAAGCAAGTAACTGCAAACCTTTTCACCCTACATCTGTAGTAAGGAAAATGCTAGAATCTATTATAAAGGATGCAATGAATAGGCACTTGAATAATAATGATCTGATTGGGCATAGCCAGCATGGATTTGTGACTGTGCAACTATGTTTGACAAATCTGTCAGAGTTTCTTGAGGATGTTAACAGAATTGATAAAGACAAGTCAGTGGACATATCATAGTTGGATTTTCAGAAGGGTTTGCTTAAGTCCCTTAGAGGAATTACTTTAACAAAATTTAAAGCAAATGAGATAAGAAATAATGATTTGACATAAATGAAGGATTAGTAAACAGGCAGGAAACCGAAAGTAGCATTAATTCAGTCATTCTTGTGCTGACTGGCTGTGACTCATGGGTACTGTGAGGATTAATATTTAGGCCCCACTGTGTGTCAGTGATTTTGGATATGAGGACCAACTAAAACATTTCAAAGTTTGTGAATTATGCAAAACTAAGAAAATTTGTGGACAAGATGCAAATTGGCTTCAAGAGGAATTGGATTGACTTGATGCATGGGCAAGAATATAGAGGATAGAATATAATGTCGAAAAATGAGTTATTCACTGGTAAGAGGAACAGACATGCAGCATATTTCTTTGATAGTATGAGATTAAAAAGGGTAGATGTACGAAGGGACCTTGTTAATCATAGAACCATACAGTATAGAAGAGGCCCTTTAGTCCATCGTATCTGCACCAACAAAAACCACTCTAAACCTACATTAGTCCCAGTTTGCAATACTCAAGTGCTGTATAAAGATTGAGGTTTCCTGCCTCGGTTTCCTGCCTCAATTTCCCTCCCAGGCAGTGCATTTCAGAACATGTGTGAAGAATATTTTCCTCAAATCTGCTCTAAACTTCCTGCTTTTCACCTTAAAATTATGCCAACTTGTTATTAACCCTTCAACTAAGGAGAACAGTTTCTGTCTGTCCACCCTATCTGTGTGTCTCATAATTATTATACACCTCAGTCCCCTCTTAGCCTTCTCTGCTCTACAGAAAACAATCCAAGTTTATTCAGCCTTTCTTCATAGATAAAATGCTCCACCCCAGCCAACATCTTGGTGAATTCCCCGCCCACCCATGGAGTTGCATCCTTCCTCTAATGTGGTGACCAGAACTGTGCACATATTCCAGCAAAATGGAATAAGTCACGGAAAGCTAATGTGCTGGTGCAGCAAGCAGTTAGAAAGGACAATGGAATTTATTGCAAGAGGATTTGCATACCGTAGTAGCACAGATTTGCTTCAATTGTATAGAACTGTGATTAGATCATACGTGGAGTACTGCTTGCAGTTTTGGTCCCTGTTCCTTATGAAAGATGCTATTACCATAGGAGGAGTGCAGTAAAGGTTCACAAGATGTGTTCCTGGTGGTGGCAGTTGACCTATGAAGAGAACTTGGTGAAACTTGGCCTGTATTCTCTTGTGTTTTTTTAAAAAAGAAAGGTGATCTCATTGAAACCTCAAAACATGTGTAGATAGACAGGGTAGATGCAGATAAAATGCTCCCCATGTTTTGGAGTTGAGAACGAGGGAATACGATTTCATGATGAGGGGGAGGCCACCAGGGACTGAGAGGAGGAGAGTTTTTTCTTTACTGAAAGATTTGTGAACCTTTGGAATTCTCTACCCCAGAGGACTGCGAAAATTCAGTGATTGAGTGTGTTTAACGTAGAAATTGGCAGATTTCTAAATACCAGTGACATAAATGGATCTGAGGATAATGTTGGAGGGAGGTATTGAAGTGGGTGCGCAACCACAACTACCCCTCAAGGGCAACTAGGCATTGATGATGAATACTGGTCAGCCAGTGATGCCCACATCCTATGAGTGAATAAAAAAAAATTCAGCCATGTTCATATCGAATGGTGGAGAAATCTCAATGGGCTGAATGGCCTCCTCCTGGTCCCATGTTTATATGACCAGTTAATGAAGTTATGAATTAATTTTGCAAATAGCATATCTTAACCCCATAGCAATGCCCGAATAATTCTTATCCCAATTTGTGATGTTTTCTCCTTGATGCAGCAATTTAACCAGAGTTGGTCATTTATTTGAATTAGGTTGGCCAGAGTAGAAAGTTTGTGCTAGGGTTTGTTTCCTACATCAGCCCTTTTCAATTCCATTTTCTATTACCAGCCTTAATAATGCCTTGCTCTGTGCTGTTATTGCCAAATGGAGATA